AGGATATCAATATCATTATTTGACCAAAGAGGTATTTTCCACAGATGGATTTGTTACTCTCTTCAGGAAAATATGATTGTTGCAAAATTTTCTGCTAACTCTTCCTGGTCAAGAGTTCTTTCTCCCCATCAAGAGGAAACCGCCTTTCCAACAACTGCAGTTGCCAAATATTAACTTGCTAAAGACATGACAGAAATCACATTCTATTTATCAAGTACATGAATATATATGAGGGGAATAAATTATTTGTTCACACTACTGCAGCATTCTGGAAGAAATGTTTCTATCTACAGCACAAAATAATAGTGCCCATAAAGTTCCATTTTATACCGAGGCATGAATAAATTATGCTACAAAGAAATTGTGATGCATTTCATTTAAATATAAAGAATAAGGGGATGACTTTGGCAGCATGTATATTTATATGATTTCTATAAAAATAGTGAAACATACGTTGAGAATTCTTTTTACGATGTAAATACAGAATTTTAAATAATGCTCAAGATTATCTCATGAAGGCTAGGCTGACCTAGTACTAGTGATTATGCAAAAAGACCCAGTTTCTTGAGCATAACTTCAGGCCTTCCAGTGGGATCCAAGGTCTTAGTAACTATTCTTCATTTAGTCCCATCTTTAGGATGGTATTTAGGATAAATAGGAACATTTGAGAGCTTCTTACACCAAGTATGTGACCTCAAAGCAGATGCCTTTCTTATGCCTCTACTTTCATCACCAAATAATTTTCTTTCGGCAAGATTCACTTTAGCTTCTGGTTTTATCTCCCAAATATACAACTTCACAGAAGAAAATACACTTAGAGCATGTTTATGCAAGAGGTTAAGACGGCATCCAATCTATATGTTTCTCGATGTTCGAGGGAAAAACGTCTAAAGCAGTTGTTATTGATTAATTCAGTTTGGAATGCTCAGTCCATGTGGTTTTAATTTACAACTAGAAACTGACTTCTTCACACACTCTGATAACCTGCCCTTCTCGGAGACCCATAAGAAAACATTTCTATGAAGTTTCCATCTTAAAAATGGAATCAGCACAACATTTGAAGCCCTGATGTTCTTAAAGTTTGTATGACTCAGACTGACAACTTTGCTTGCTCAAATATGTGTCTGAAACTTTAACAAAATAGAAACTTGGAATTTTTTGTTTCTTTGTTTTCTCCTTTTACCTTAAAGAAGTTTACCAGTTGAAACTCACAAAGACAGCTGACTGGACAAGGGGGTGCTCTTGAGCCCCAGACTGATTGCTGAGAGGCCAACAGGGGACTGGTCCAGACCCCATGAATGCAGTGTCAGTGAGGAGGCCTCAGAAATCTCTGGGGCCCTGGGTAGTAAATTAATGTTCACCATGGCATACAAATGAACTTTGGGAGCCCATTCCACATGGACGGATGCTCTCTCAGCCTGGACACATGGGGAAGCGCCTAGATCCTGCCCTGGATGAAATGACAGACTCTGGAGATTCCCCCAAGGAGGGCCTCAACCTCCCTGGGGAATGATGTGAGGATAGGGCTGGGGGCGGTGGTTGGGGGGAAGGGTGGTGGAGGGACTAGGGAGGAGGGGTGGAGGAAGCTGGGATTAACATTTGAAGCATGCATGTTTCTAATTAAAAAAATAAAACATTAAAAAAGTTTACCAGTAAGAAACTTCTTTTTTAATTGGATAGAAACCTTCACACATTCTCACATATAAATTGGTTAAAATATTTTTTATAAACTTAGTAGAAAGTTATTGAGTAGGAGATTTAACAAACTGTATTAAAAAGAGAAACACAACTGAACACTCCATCCTGCCTTTGGGAGTTTCATGCCTTAGCTGCTTGGGATATAAAGTTCATGGGATGCACATCTGAAAACCTGTGAACTTCTCATTCATAAAACCCGCACTGCTTTTAATGACTTGATGAATATTAATTTTATTTTACAAGTTTGGCTTTAATTGTGTGTGTGTGTGTGTGTGTGTGTGTGTGTGTGTGTGTGTGCAAGGGCGGGAGAATATGTACACTAGAGCTATTGGATCCCCTGAAGCTGAAATTACAGGTGTTTGTGAACCACCAGATCGTGGTGCTGGGATATATATGATTAGTATTCTTAATCTCTGAGTTATTTCTTCAGCCCCCAAATACTAGTTATCTTGGCCACATACTAAATCCTATTTGGAGAGGAATTATATGTCACAGTTTACTTTAAATACTACATAACATCACTCATTTAAGTGAATTAAAGTTAATCTTATTCTTTTAGTCTAAACAATAACATGCAAAAGGAAGACTGTAGGGCTTTACGAAATGAAAAGAAGTAGGGGCTGACACAATTAATGAATGCTAATTTTACCTTGGCATTTGTTTGTCTCTTCTGAAAAATAAATTTGCTACTAATAAGCACATTAAGCTTCACTTCAAATAACAATTAGCAACATGATGCTTTCTCCAAAATCAAAAGTAACAGACCTGAGCACTTCACTAGAAGTTGATGTCCAACGTCATCCTAATATCTGCACCTTTTAGTACTTTCAAATTCATAAAACCAGCACACCCTAGTCTCAAACTCTGATCTTCAATATCCTTTCACTCAAGTATTCCTTCCACTCAGGCCAATTCTTTTCCATGTGCCAAGCATTGCCCTGTTTTCTCTAGGTTAATAAACAAATTGTGTTTTCTTGGAATGAAGAAAAGAATAATAATAAAAAAAATAGAAACATGAAAAATAATGTGATGGTGGTCAATGATACTTAATAAAAGAATCTATGGAACAATACAGTATGATGCCATGGAGAAATGAGAATGACTTGTATAAGTAACTCTGAGGGTAAGCAGAACCTCACTGTATAAATAGAGATTTGGGGACCTTGTAAGAAGATATAAAGAGATATTTCTGACAGGGTGCACAACACTGAAGTGACTGTCAGGTGAATAAGTACATAATCCAAGAGCTAAAGGAAACTGAGTAGCATCTTTTGAGGGTAAAAGCAATGAGAGATGGGATCTGAGAGTGAGGGATTATGTTGAGCCTGGGAAATCACATCTCAAAGAAGGTAACAATAAAATTTACTAAACTTTCAGCCTTTGTATATGGGAAGATGTGCTTTTCTGGGTATTCTAATTGGCAAGCAGAAGCTCCTCAGGACACTGGATAAATACTGGCTAAGACTCAAGAATATAGTGCTATTGAAAAGAGTTTATGTTGTAAGTAGGTTGGAAGGAGCTAAGTATGGGCGTGAGAAAGCAGCTATTAGATTGATGTTTTATGCTCCTAGTGAAAGATAAATGTGGGCTACATCAGAGCGAAGACAGTATCTGTGTCCCAGAATGCTTGGAAGTTACATTTATTTAGTGGAATTTTAGTTAGGAGAATGCTTGGCTTGATCACACCGATGACAGTGTAACTTAACAAAACAGAGGAAAATGTGGGAGAAAGAGGTTGGCTTAGTTGCTTCTCAGCCTATCATAGTCACACTGACTGCCTCTCTAGAAGAAAGCTGAGTCACAATTTTAAGTAGGGATTATGAAAATCAGGAGACATTTGCAATGAATCACTAGGAAAAGCAAACAGAGTAGACAGATGAGAGACCACAAGTGTGAAGTTGGATAAGAGGTGTCTTCGGGGAAATGTTAGCTAGCCATCCCCCAAGTTTCTCGAATGCCCGTGTTTCTGCTGTCCTAGTGCATCGAGGTGCCTTTGCTGCTCTTCCCAGCCAGTGAAATGGTAACCTGTCTGCTTTCCTCGCTGGAGTGTCCTCTCTCCCATATCTATCCTGTCCTCAGTCTTTATGCTTACACCAGTGTGTTGTTATAAACAACACATGTCTAACATTGTCATTCTCAAGCTGAAAGGCCATTCACTGCTTTGAAAATAAGATTGTAGCAGTGATCAAGCCTGATGACTTGCCTGTGACTTACCCTTTAATAACTCCTAGTATACTGTCTTCTGACACTTTTTGTACATCCAGTTTTCTTGGCTATCTTTAATTCCTATCCACTTCCCTCTGTTCTAATGCCTCCACATATACCTTTTAGCTAGGCTTAACGATGATTTTTTAACTAGATAGACCAGGAATAATAGAGGGAACAGTCTTAATTTCCATGGACATTGATATCTTACTAAAATATGGCAATTCTTAGATGCTACTGTTGATCAGATGAAATATGTGTTCAATTAAACCATCAATTTGATAAAATTTTACAGTGTGCAAATAAAATGAGAGTTTTAAGTTTTTCTATTTTTATTGCACCACAGAATGCAATGATTTTTGCTACAATTCTAAAGCCAAAGAGTTTAAACACATAAAAGTGCCTTGTTGCTAAATGAAAATGGTTATTCTTGTGTGCATGTGTTCATCTTTGTGGGAGTGCAAGAACATGTACATATGACAGCCAGAGGTAAACCTCAGGTAAAATATCTTGGAAGTCATCTACTGTGTTACTAGAGACAGTGTCTCTCATTGAGACCTGGGACTTACTTACTGGTTTATCCTCACTGGCCCTTGACCCTATCCCTGACTCCTTATCACAGGAATTATAAACCCGTATAATTATGGTACTGGAGACTAAACTCACAACCGTGTGCTTCCAAATTAACTACTGAAACAACTGAGTTATCTTTCTAGTCTCTGATGATGGTTATTCAGGGATGAATGAATGTGTACAGAGTGTAGGTAGACATACATACTCTAAATGCTGTATATGCTGTAGATGATATATAATATAACTCTGTATATATACATGTAATTGTACTAGGTCATGCATATTTACTGTTTACTTGACTAAGCTTTGATTTTATTATATGAGCAGAGTTTATAATGCATTGATTTCTTTCTTTGTGAAATTGGAGCATCAAAAACACAAGATAATGGAAACATTTACTTCATCCCCCTAATAAAACCTAAGAAGCTCCCACATGAAGTATGTCACCATGGTGGGATCGGAGGTATCCTATTGCCCTGATCACTCAGAGGGTTCTAAAGTAGAACTGAGATAGAAACACCTACCGTCTTGCTGAGGTAACCTGTGCTGGTGTTCATGCATTGCAGCCCCTCACTGTTGCAGCAGCCCCCACATCTGTAGACGGACACACATGGAGGTTTAAAGAAGGTGTTTGTGGCTGCTCCAAACTCCTTCCCCACATCTATACACACCTCACGTGGCATGCATTGAGTCTTTCTCCACTCATTATCAATACCTGTCGAGTCATAGGGAAGTCCATAAGTTACACAGAAGCCACCAAGGGAGAAACAAAGCCTACAACATGGGGAAGTTACTCATATTTGACTTCAGATCTTAAGTTTTAGCGTAAGAGAACGAGAGAAACAACCGACTGGATCCTAAGTTTCCCTATGAATGGGAATGTAAGATAAGAGTTTGCAGAATAGTCGAGAAAATTTCATTTTAGAATGATTTCCATGGGGGGAGGTAACAAAAATAGAATTAAATTAAGGATTTAAAATAATTACACCACTACCCTAACACAAATGTTTGGCTCTCGTTGCTTAAAAACGGGAAATTGAATACATGGATGCTTACCAGATGTGCAAAAACAAAGCCATGTTCTTTGCCTGGCATGTACAATTTCTGTGGTCATGAAGCAAATGTAAACAACATGCTTTTGCTTTTCTTTTTAAACTGACATGTAAATGAGAAGAAAACTATGGTTTTGGTTTCAATTCAAAACTCATTTTTCAGGCAAGCTATCCAACAATTTTGAATAATGTCATGACAGTAGCTATGTGAAAAGCAAGGTTATTTTCCACCTAATACGACTTGTAGCTTAAACTGACTCTCTTCAGGAAAATTAAATTTCTTATCCCCCTCATGCTTTCTCTTGAACTCCTGCTTTCAAAACACTGTTGGCTTACCAATTGCGGATGACTGAAATAACCATTTCTTTAATTCATAATGACTTTCTGCATTGTGTTTATTTGTTATTTGCTTATTGCTATTTTTCTTTTTGTAATTTAAATTAGAAACAATCTTGTTTTACATGACAATCCCAGTTCCCTCCCCACCTTGCCTGTCACTCACAGACCTCCTATCCCATCCCCTTTCTGTTCCTAAGGAAGGGTGAGGTCATAAATTATGGATTATTCCACCACAATTCCAGTTGTTTGGTTTTGCTTTAAATGGACTTTGCAATATCAAATTGTATGTGCGTATGATGGGGTGCCTACCATGCAGTGGCTAGAGGGAGACATCATGTCCTCTATCATTCTCTACATTAGTATCTTGATAGAGGTTTTCTCGGTGAACCAGAAACTCTCTGTTTAGACTAGGCTGGCTGGCCATCTAGTTCAAAGGATTTTCCTTTATGTATTCTCTGCAATGCCGTGGCTTTGGGTACCCATAGCTATGCATGCCTTTATGTGAGTGTTGGGGAATCAAATTCAGGTCTTCATGCTTGCAGAGTCAGCTCTGTTACCCACTGAGTCACCTCCCTAATCCCTATATCGAACCTTAAAACACAGAAACATTTAAAACTAAAGTAAGCCTTTTTCTTAAATTGGCTCACCAACTCCTATTATGTCATTTTATACAACATTGTAATTTTGTATAAAATAGAGTGTTATGGCAGACATTCTACTTCATAAAGGGCAATTCTGAATCAGCTATTTCTGAGGAAACAGAACAACAAGTAGATTGGGGAGGTGATATGGGTTAGTAATTTTTTTTCATTATTTTCAGCTGTGTGTGTGTGTGTGTGTGTGTGTATGCGTGTGCCCACCCATGTGTGTCTGTCTATGAAAATATTGCCCAGAGTGTTATGCACCTTATGCATAATGGATAAATTTTCTAGCACAAAAGTTAAATTAAGCATGTCCAAAAAAGGGAGGAGGGGGGAAATCCATGCACTGTTGTTTTTCTTAAAATACTAATTTTCTTGAGATACAAGCATCTAAACTAACCTAAATAACTAAAATAAGTTAACACAGTGTAGAAAATTTATTTAAGTATTTTCAAATGTTTGCAATGGACTATTATCCCAATTCCCCAAATAAATGTGTTTTGATACCCACGTGATATCTAGCTGTGAATTTCAAGAAATCATCTAAATGCATAAAAAGAATTCCCAAAGTGTTTTATTAAAAGTAATTCTGTTCACTTCTATTTTCTTTACTGGGGGCACTTCAAATATACTAGCTGGAAGCAAAGGCCCACACCATCACCATCACTGTGGACCTCATGAGGTTCCTCTTGTACTTTGCTGCTTGTACTTACTTTTCAGGATTTCTGTGTTATAATGTGCAGCAGCAAATTTTACATTATCCCCTGTCCTTGTGTTGAGAGTAGGCTGCTGCCAGCCACCTTTCCTCAGCTGGCACTTGTACATTTTCCAGTAGTCTGGGTACAGGACAGACATGAGCTCATCTACACTGGACACGGACCGCAACTGCTCCTCCAGGTCTTTGCCTGCGAAAGCCTGTCAAACAAAAGTACAAGATCAGCACTCCACCAGACTGAGAGTCTAGGAAGACAAACCCAAACCCTTCTGCTTTAAGGTGACACACACTGAATCTGCTAATAAAAGTCTTACTAACAAATCTTTACTTGCTCCAATTTTATGGTAAAATTAATTTAATATTAATATCCAATGTCTCAACTGGCACAGTTAAACTGTATTTGTTTTTAAGACCAAAAATTATGAGACAGAGTTTTTAAACTTTAAAATTTTTAAATTAAAAAATTTAAAATTCTTTGTTGTAGTCACAGCTCTTTTGCATATTGACAAATTTGCTTGCTTAAAAACTTATTCCCATATATACTTCCCTGCTACCATATATAAGCAAAGTGACACAAATTTCCTCTAGAGTTATATACCAGCATCTATACAAGTAGTCTTTAAAACACAGAATATTACCTTTAATGAAAATATAAATAAATATCAGGCTTTTTACTTTTTATTTAAATTAGAAACAAGCTTGTTTTACATATCAATCCCAGTTCCCTCTCCTCCCCTCCTCCTCTGCCCCACGCCAACCCCCATCCCATCCCATTTTCTGTTTCCCAGGGAGCAGACCTTACACGGGATCTTCAAAAACTGTTTCATTTGAAGTAGGGCCTAGGCCCTCTCCCAAATGTCTAGGCTGAGAGAGTATCACGCTATGTGGAATGGGCTCCCAAAGTCCATTCGTATACTAGGAATAAATACTGATCCACTACTAGAAGCCCCATAGATTGTCCAGGCCTCCTAATTGACACCCATGTTCAGGGGGTCTGGGTCAGTCCTATGATGGTTTCCCAGCTATCAGTCTGGGGCCCATGAGCACCCACTTAAATAGCAGACTTTTAAAGTTGGATTGTAGTGTAGTGGATAGAATACATGGTTAGAATGCTCAAACCTGTGGGTTTGGTTCCTAGCAGTAAGAGAAAGGGGGAAAACCTGGACTAGTTATGGCAGCATGATATAAATACTTGAAGTTGAACATTAGAGGAGACCTTAACATCAGTGAAAAATGACACAATATCATACCTTCTCAGTTTATATATATGGTATATTTGCTTGGAGAAAATCTCACATGTGACACAAAACTTGAGTCAGAAGTTTGCAAATCTAAAATCTTTACTGATGGAAAGAAGAGTTATGAAGTCAAAGTGACTGAAGGAAGCTCCTTCTATGAGATGATATGTGTGATAACAGTTTCTCAGTATTTCAAAATACCATGTACATATATATCAAGACGTAATATACTATATATCTATGTATACATATATTGTTTGCCAATCAATCCTTAATAAAGCTAGAGAATAAAAGAGGAATCAGATAAATTTTTGCAAACTGCCAAGTTCAACAAAATGTCATAATGCCTCTATTAGCATCTAATCGTTAAATATTCTCCAGAAAAAAAAGAAACAGTGAGGTACTGTATGTGACTGGAAGGTTGCTTGCGCTCTTCCCCTACAACTCTGCTAAGACTATAATCAACGTCTGACCTTATCGAATCGCATAGAAAATGCAGAATAGGTCATGTGTTCATTGAACCAGGAGCACCAATGGGAGACATGCACAGAACATTAGATGGTATGTAAGTATGTATATTGGATGGTAACAACAACGAAGGAAAAATAATTCTTCTGAGTACCAGTGGGAATATATATTTGTAGTTATTCAAGGATAATATTGTTACAAGCTGATGGGATTTTACACATATTCCATGAAGACAGCAAATTCACTTTGGGATTCTACTTTGCATAAATGATGCTGTCCTGTCAAGCGATACATTCCAACTCATTGTAAGTCTGTCCATATATGAGTGTGAAAAAGTGCCATGTAGAAAATAAAGAATGGGTCAAACAAGTTGCAAAATATAACAGATATCACAGGACGTAATATAATCACATTACAAAATCATGACAGAGCTGTATGATATAAACATGGAAAGGGTATACAATATGTCCATTAACACACATAGGGAGAAGACATGTACTTTTTGAACAAAATTTACATATTGAGTATTTGTATACTGTCTTTAGTAAAAGAGATATAGCAAAAAGTAGTTTTGTTCTGCAAAGTACAGGATGACTTATGTATTCAATACACTTTTAAGTTTTAAGTGATGCACATACATAATTCTTAATAATCAGAATAAAAATAATCATTTGTAAGCACATTGCAGGCTATCAGATTAGCTCTTACAATTTCATAGAACATGTTTTTGATAGAGTATTTAAATTATAAGAATCACTGAAAAGAGCAGAGATCATTACAAATGGATGGAATAAAAGTGGATTACAGGCTGAACTACCCATTCCCTTTTCTCTACAAGATGGTCATTACTGTATTACATTTGAATGAAAGATAGCCTTTAGCATCAAAAGATGCAGATGATGTCCATCTTGGCTTGAAATATCCTACTATATTGGCTACTATTAAATTTCAACTCTTTGAGCATCATCTTTCTCTGTGAAATGACAGTAATGTTTTCCCATAGAGTTTTTGTGATGATTCAAAGTAAACAACAGTAGCACAATATGACTGTTGCAGACAGCACAGGAACTGTCATCTGATTTTCTTCAGTTAAAGGGAAGCTTTTACATTTATGCAATCACAAGATGTGGTGCAGATTTTTCTTCTGATCTGACCCCTGTATTTTCACACTGAGTGACTAGCATGCTAGGAATTGAGCACTGTGGCCTAAGGAGAAGTAGGTGCCAAGTATTTCAAGGAACAGTGATAGAGTGGACAGAAGACCTAAAACTTCAAATTACATTTGACCATCTAATTGTGACGCATTCAATTCTTTACTTTTGAAGACGTGAAGAGGCCTCAGCAACTAAGAATGTGTTCTCAACTGAGCAAGTGACACTCAAAAACTCTTCAAAGGAAAGAGCTATTTACATAAAAGTCAAGTTTGTTCTTAACTTACTCTTGATTCTTTATGTTCGATGTTTTCTAGAACCCTTAGGTTATTTGCTTGAAAATGTGTGGGTTTTTTTTTCCAGAAGTTCTGTGCAGTTTATAAGAGACTGTATCTTACAAATAGATCCATAACTTGAAATGAAGCTTCATGCAATCTAAAACCCAATGTAAATTTGCAGTGTAATGTGGGAAGATCATCTAGGAGATATTAGTAGTTGTCCTAGGATAGCTGTTAGCATTCTGTATTAGCAAAGAATGACCTAAAGGATGAAGCATTGTAAGGTGACAAAAGTCAAAGATAAGTTAGCAACAAAAGTGATGAGCAGAGAACGGGAAAAGAAACAGTTACCTAAGTGTCCATGTTAGCAGAACAATGATGTCAATCTCTGTTTCTTGGGGTCACATGATGAGAAGGAGCCTTTCACCTGCACTCTATGTTCTTTATGAAAAGTCACATCAGAAGCTGATAAAGTCATAAACAAAGAGGGCTCTCAGGTGTAACTGATAACTGTATGGCACACACTAGTGTTCTTTGAGGTGCCTTGGTTCGATTAAAGTTTGTTCCGATGGCTGGTAGAGAGACAGCTCAATTGCATGCAGGCATTTCTACTTGAAAAAGCCCAGAGGATCAACAATAAATGGGAAACAAGAATGACAAACTGAACTTGTTGCAACTAAAAATTTGTTTTAAAATTCTATAAACAAATACAAAGCTGTTTTCAAACTACTATCAAGTATTATAGTATGCACATATGGGCTGGATGTTTATTAATAAGTGGATGGGGTTGAAATTTGTGGGATAATTCATATCCTGAAGTTATGAAAGATTTCTTTTTCTTAAATTTATGTATTGCTACCAAATGATAATAATCAGAAGTGATAGAATGGGTAAAAGAACATAAAAAGGGGTTTATCATTATTGCATTATTGCATATATAAATCTGGTTTCTTAACCAAAATATCTGCATTTTAGAAGTGGATAAATAATAAGATTGAAATATGTAGGCTTACATATTAGATGCTTATATTTTAAGTTAGCCATAAATTATCTGTAAAAGAGTATTATAATAAGCAATACTTTGTGTTAGCATAATCAATTTTTAAAATCACAGATTCTACCTTATAATTTTATGTCATAGTCTATAGTGAAAATAACAGTTCAATAAGAAAAGAATTTTACTAAACTGAATAGAAAACATGTTAAATATTATGCCATACAGATCAATTCTCTGTCTAAATTATTAGTAGACGTCACCTACCACAGTTACCAAAGTCATTAACTGAGACAATTGCTTGTATTGCCTTCTTTTAAATAGGGTCAGATCAATTCACTAAAGTAAATGACTACTGAATTTGCTCATCCACTAAGATAGCAAAAATAAATAAATCAAAAACATGTATTTTATTTTTGTTGTTTTGTCCTACTTAAAAATGGCATTGCATAATTCATGGAGAAAATGTATAAAATTTAAAATCATGTCCTAACTATTTAAAACACCCCCCCCACACATACACACACACACACACACACACACACACACACACACACACACACACAGGAAAATGAGGCTTTAAGAACTGAGGAAAATTTCAACATGCAGATATAAAATTCACCTTTCAAGTCATTCTCTTACAGAACCCAGAACCATACAAGGCAATTCAAATGTTATCCTAATGAAAGGAATTCTGCAAATGGTTTACAAAACCTTATCAAGTCCTTTTACCTAAAATGTTTCAAAGAAAGTTAAGAGTTGGGCTTATCTGACCCTCAAGCTACCTGTCAGCCATGTCTACACAAATCTGAAGCCACAAGAGGCTAAAGTTTGGAAAGGTTATTTCATTTTAGTTTAGAGTTCAAAGCTTGCTGTGGGAAGTTTAAATTTCACATTTTGTCTGAAATGTTCTACTGTAGATGTTGAGAATAATTCTCTAGCAAAGAAGAGTTTTTTTTACACTTGTTATTGAAACCGTGAATTATTTTTAAATAGGCCACATTCTAGTTTGTTCATATGGAAACTAAAATTTAAAAATTATATTATTTTCTGATCAAAATTTAAGTGACA